TCCAGTTTTCTGCTGTGATCCAGTTTTCTGCTGTGATCCAGTTTTCTTCTGTGTGTTTTGCACCATCTTCCTCGTCCCGCAGTTTTCAGTTGTTTCAACAAATCATGAATCAAATTCGGCTTTCAGGACAATCCTGCTCTGACCTTTGGTGCAACTTTAGCTTTTTGAAATATTTAGCCTTTTCTGACACTTTTCTCAAATGAACTGAGCTCATTTTCATCCTTCACCTCTTCACATCTGTTCACAACCTTTTACTGCTCCGTTCACGTTTTGTTCTGCTTCAGCTTCTTTCAGCTTCCTGCTGCATTTTAATAAACTTTTTCAGCTACTTTCTGCTAATTTCAGCTGTTCCACTTGCTTCTTGTAATTTCAGCTTGTGTCTGCTTTTTAGCTACTTTTCAGCTGTTTTTTTTTTTCTAATTTCAGCTTTTTTTAGATAATTTCCACTTTTTTTGTGCTCATTTCTGCTTCTTTCAAACTATTGGCCAAACATGTTCTTTCAGCTTTCTTCTGCTAATTTAAGCTTGTTGTAACTTTTCAGCTACAATTTTAGAACATTAGCTAATTTCAGCTGTTTGCAGATAAATTCAAGTTTTCCTGGGTAATTCCTGCTACTTTCAGCCCAAGGAACTTCTTTCTGCTAATTTCAGCTTGTTGTGCTTTTTTAGGCTTTTTCTGCTATTTCAGCTACTACTTAGCTTTTTTCTACAAATTTTAGCCTTTTCAGATAATTTCACATTTTTTAGCTCATTACTGCTCCTTTCACTTCCTTCTGGTAGTTTAAGCTTCTTACTGTCTTTTCAGCCATAGTTTCCTAATTTCAGCTGTTTTTAGCTAATTACTGAATTTCTGTGCTCATTTTTGCTAATTTAAACCAAATTCAGCTAAATGTGTTCGTTCTGCTTTCCCCTGCTAATTTAGACTTGTTCTTTCCTTTCAGCTAAATTTCAGCATGTTTTTAGCTAATTTCAGCTGTTTTTAGCTAATTTCAGCTGTTTTTCAGCAAGTTATTTTGCAATAAGCGTTCACGTTGCATTTTCGCAGGAAATTAAGTCTCTAGGTATTTTACATTTTATTGTTTAAACTTCTTCACCATGTTCTGGTATCGTTGCATTTAGGATTAAAACTTTGGCAAAGTTCCTTGAACTTACTTTAAAATCAGCAGAAACTTTTACGATGAAAAACAACTCATTTGTAAATGTCCGACCAAACCACCGACGTTGTGGGATCAATATTTAAAGTTTTATCCTTCGGCGTTCTCTTCAAGTTTCATTGAAATTCAGTGACTGATGAGATATTTTGCTGACAGACATTATCACCCACCTTCACCTTTCAGCAACAATAAATGCATTTAAAAGGTACATTAAATATTTAATGGAACATTTAATTGTGTATTTAATGATTTCATGATGTATTGAATAATTAAATGATACATTTAAATATTTAATGGAGCATATTTATTGGGACATTTATTGATTAAATTGGACATTTATTAATTTCATGATGTATTTAATTTTGTCACATTCCACCCTCCATACAAACATCATTTCAGTTTGTTTGAACAAAAGTCTGATGAAACTGAATGATGTTCATGTCGCAGCAGCAGCTGGAGCGGTTCTGGTTCTGGTCTCTTCCAGCTGATGGGTCCGAAGGTGGACGTGCCGGTCTACGACCTGTCCCTGATCCGGGGGCTCTGGGAGGTCCGGGTGAAGAAACACAGACAGAAACAGAAGAAGGAGCAGGAGCGGGTGGAGAGGAGCGCCCTGGCCAGGTCAGGATCTCCTCATCCATCAGCCCCAGAAAGAGGAGCTGCAGCTCGTCACGTGACCTGATGGTGGCGCTGCTGACCCGGTCCAAACCCTCAGCTGGTTCTGACAGATTTTATTAATCCAGAGACAGAATCAGATTAGGTTCAGCTGCTGTCAGAGCCAGATTAGTTTTAGATAAAATAAAGAAAACTTTAGAGATTATTTTTTGTTCTTTTTGACAGAAATATTGAATTTATTATTTATGTTTGTTTCATAGTCCAGACTTTGTTATTTTAGATGTTCATGAATCAAAACGTTCAGCTCATCCAGATTATTTCTGATTTTTTACAACTGTTCTAACTTTATTTACAAACTTCGTATTCATAGAAATACAACGAGATCCCTTTAATTTCTACAGAAACTGTTTTCAGCTGCTGGCTCCTTTAAGCCTCTTTTAGGTTTTAGCCACTGTTCTGATTCACAGCTTTACCTTCTCTGAGCTCCTTAATCCAGATTTACATTCACAAAATAAAAACAAGACCTGAAAACTGAGAGCTGGAATGTTTCTGCAGAGCTCGTTTAACTCTGAAGAGTTTACACATCTGGTTGTTACTCCGTCAGTCAATGAAACTATTTCTGTGTCTGAGTCAGACGCAGCTGACTGGAGCCTCGACAGAGTCGAGGCTAAAAGTAGAACTGACATGAACACACACGTTGTGTAACGAGTAATATGAGCACATGATGTGGAGCCAGACCTCCAAACAGCTAAAGGTCACATTCATTATAGGTAAGAAGCAGCTAAAACCTGCTCTGACTAGATAAGAAGCAGCTAAAACCTGCTCTGACTGGATAACAAACAGCTAAAACCTGCTCTGACTAGATAAGAAGCAGCTAAAACCTGCTCTGACTGGATAACAAACAGCTAAAACCTGCTCTGACTGGAAGAGAAAACAGCTAAAACCTGCTCTGACTAGATAAGAAGCAGCTAAAACCTGCTCTGACTAGATAAGAAGCAGCTAAAACCTGCTCTGACTGGAAAAGAAAACAGCTAAAACCTGCTCTGACTAGATAAGAAGCAGCTAAAACCTGCTCTGACTGGAAAAGAAGCAGCTAAAACCTGCTCTGACTGGATAACAAACAGCTAAAACCTGCTCTGACTGGATAACAAACAGCTAAAACCTGCTCTGACTGGATAACAAACAGCTAAAGCCTGCTCTGACTGGATAACAAACAGCTAAACCCCAGAATGTTTTGCTGCTGCTGCTGACCTCGTCTTCTGTGTGCACAGGATCGATCAGGAGTGGCAGTATCGGATCTACTGTAAAACTCTGAAGACCAAAGAGCTGAACCAGCTGCACCATTACCTGGAGAGATCTACGCTGAAGGATGTGCCGCCGTACAGAACTGATGCACAGGTGTACGCAGGTAAATATAACCCACGTTCACCTGAAACCAGACTAATATCACAGGTAAACAACAACACTGAGCCATGTTCAGCTGTAAATATCTGTGAGAAACCAGTTCATCCAGATGTTCACAGGTAAATGTAACCATCATCCAGCTGTTCACAGATAAATGTAACCATCATCCAGCTGTTCACAGGTAAATGTAACCATCATCCAGCTGTTCACAGGTAAATGTAACCATCATCCAGCTGTTCACAGGTAAGGCTAACAGGTAAACTTTACTTTACAGTAACTCTGCCCCGTTCACACACCGTGCTTTTAAACTGGAGCGTTTCTGCAGCAGTTCGTCTGTTCATGTACACAAAGACGGCCCTCCTGGTCTTGGAGTGGGTTTTTGGGGTACCCCCTTCAGAGGTGTGACATACTCCCCAGGTGTGAAGTCTCTACAGGTGTCTGCAGTCCAAAGATATTCTGCACTAACGACAGATACAACAAATACCAGAGTGCCGAGTGTTTTTGTGCTGAGGCTTTTCAGCATGCAGGAGCAAACCACCAACATCCTCGGTCCAAAGGAGCGTTCCTGTATTCACCAGTTTGGATGTACCGTAACTGTGATCCTGCAGCTGAGCCTGGCATCGGGGTTGCCAGATAAACATGAATGCATGTTTTAACCCCTCCTTTAGTGTGCACGTGTTCATCAAACACACCCCTCATCCTACAACACCCTCTCTCAGCTCAGAGGACGTTACAGCAACAGCACAGTCAAATTTCTTATCTGGCAACTTTGCCTGACATGGAAACGACAGTGTTTCCACGTAAACGGGCTCTTTTTTAATTTGTTGTGATAAACATGAACATGTTATCTGTGGACGGTAAACAGAAGAAAACACCAAAGAACTTTATTCAGTCTTCGGTGGCTAAATAGCTGTGAGTTGACGCTTTGGTCCAAAATACGAGTGCTTTGGTTTTTGTGATGTCACCCCTTGGACGTTATGAGAAATAATCAGCCACTTTTTTATTTATGTCCATCCATCCATTTTCTTTACCCGCTTGTTCCATTTTGGGTCACGGGGGTCACCGGTGCCCATGTCCAGCAATCACTGTGCGAGGGGCGGGGGACACCCTGGACAGGTCTCCAGTCCATCACAGGGACACATGGAGACAAACAACCATTCTCTCTCTCACCTAGGGACAATTTAGAGTTACCAATCAGCCTAACATGCATGTTTTTGGTCTGTGGGAGGAAACCGGAGTACCCGCAGAAAACCCACGCATGCACGGAGAGAACATGCAAACTCCACCCAAAAAGGCCCCCGACCGGGATTTGAACCAGGGACCTGCTCGCTGAGAGGCAGCAGCTCTACCAGTTGCGTCACCGTGTTGCCTCCGCCTCTCATCTTGTACGACAGAATTGTTTTATTTTGGATGTAAAGAGCAAAAACTCACGTAATTTGCACAAATAAACGTTTAATCTGGAAAAAGCTGTTTCGCATGCATGCAGGCTGCAGCAGCTGACTGCCGCACTGCGCTCCTGCAGCTCGCTCATACAGCTGGGTCAGTACTAGAAAAAGTATATAGAAACTTTCTACTATAAGTACAGTAAAAATAAAAATAAAGAAAATAAGTTTTAAGAAAAAAAAAATATATATATATATTAAAAAAAAACATAAGTGAAGCGTGAGAGTCACGGTGATTTTGACTGAAAACAAAACCCGTTTCTGGGTCTGAATGGTCCGGCGGGCTGCAGGGTCTTGGGACACTAACTGTCGTAAAGTCTTCCAGGTCGTTGAAGTCACCCCACATGTTGGGATATCCAAATATTAAATTCTCATGGATTTTCTTGGCGTTTGGTGAGCATGTTGGGTTTGTGTTCCTGTTAGGAGACCAGCAGCAGGATCAGAAAGTCCAGCAGGATGAGAAAGATCCAGATCAGAAGAACCTGATCCTCCAGCTGGAGGGAGAGCGTTGGGTGGTGAGTGACAGGTTTTGAATGAACCATTCTCCAAGATGTTGGTGCGTTTAAGAAACCCTTCCTGCAGGACTTTCCCCGGGAGCTGCAGTGGATGACCTACCTGCAGGAGTGGCACGTCCGGGGGACGAGGATCCGACAGCTCCCCGACTACCTGACCCTGTTCACCCAGCTCACTGTACTGGAAACTCCTAAAAACACCATCATGGAGCTGCCGCCGGAGATCGGTGAGGCTGAACCAGATTTATCAAACATTTTACCCTCTGAAACAGAACCTGACGTGACCCCGATCCTTGCCATTCGTCCTTCGACCAGAGGAAACGGTTTGAACCTTCTAACCACCGTCTGCGTCTCCAGGTAAACTGACGGAGCTCAGGGTGCTGAACCTCAGCTACAACCGTTTGTCCAGAGTCCCTCCAGAGCTCGGGGGCTGCGAGAAGCTGGAGAGACTGGAACTGGCTGGAAACCACAACCTGTCCGAGCTGCCCTTTGAGGTGAGGTGGTTTCTGAGGGGACCTGGTCCAGGTTCAGGTTTCTGGGTCATTGTTTGGGCAATCAGAATCAGAAGCAGCTTTATCGTCATTGCACAATGAAGTACAGCAAGATTACGTTCAGCCGTCCTAAAGATGGACGGAGGTGTACAGGAGCTGCAGCTTCTAACAAGCTCTGCCCTTTTTGCTTAGATAGAAAAAGTAAGACACATGAGGAGAGAGGTATAAAAAAAGATCTCTCACACCGGGTCCTTGACAGGGCACGGTTTAAGGGATCAAAAAGACCACATCACGCAACGTAGACAGACAATACATGCATGGACAACAAGACAGTGAGATTTGTTCATGGACACTTCCAGATAGTTTCCATAGTCCTGATAAGATGTTAGTGTCTCTCAGCCACAGATCTGAGCGTTCACAGAAGTTTTCGGGGGGTGAGGGACGGGGTGCGGGTGGTGGACAGAGCAGAGGTTCTTTATTGACATATCCACCAACTGAGATAAGTTGACCTTCCAAGGCCGAGCGGGAGGGCCAGGTTCAGATAACCAAGTTTGAGCAGGAAGACTCTGGTTCCTGTCTACCTTCAGTTCTGCTGGATGGTGAATCCAAACAGCCAGATGTGTGGACAATCTGCTGGTCTGTGCTTTGTTAGCTTTTCTCCAGACTTGAATCCATCATGCCGGCGAGTTCCAGGAGCTCGTAACGCATACGAGTCTGAGAGCTCGAAGCACAGATGAATCCATCACAGGAGGTGGGCAGCTTTACCATGGCCAAAACTGCTGCCGATGTCAAGTGGGACTAAAACCAAACAATCCCTGAACACGTCACTGATATCGTTTTCCATCGAAGCTTGGCAGGGCAGAGGTAGCTTAGGATCATGTCATGGTGATGATGTCATTGTATTGTCTCCAGCTCAGCAGCCTGAAGCAGCTGGTCCACCTGGACATTGCGGAGAACAGGTTCATCTCAATCCCCATCTGCACCTTGAGGATGACCAGCCTGCAGCTTCTGGATCTGAGCAACAACCACCTGACCGACCTGCCGCAGGACATGGACAGGTAACCCATCTCAACACACCTGGAAGTGAACAGAGCAGGTGTTCTCCTAGCTTCATCTGTAAAATGTGAATGAAAGGTGCAGACTTTGGTTGTGTCCTCAGGTTGGAGCAGCTCGTGTCTTTGTACGTCCACAAGAACAACTTGCAGTACCTCCCTCTGTGTCTCACCAACATCTCCACCCTCAGGATGGTCGTGGTCAGCGGTGACGAGCTCACCTGCGTCCCCACCAAACTGTGCAACAACCCAGACATCAAGTACATCAACACAGAACCCGAGGGTTTCTCAGAACGCTGTTCATCTCAAGAGACAGTCAGAGGTTCTCACTGGACTGTCCTCACGGTTCCCGATGTTCCCACAGGTTTATCCGTCTGTACGACAACTCTTCCAGCGAAAAGAAGAAGAAGAAGAAAAAGGAGGAGGAGAAGAAAAAGAAGGAAAGGAGGAGAAGATGGAGGGAGCAGGAGGAGGAGGTGAAGGACAGCAGAGAGAAAGAGTTCATGGAGGCGTACATCAGCTCGCTGAAGGACCGAGGTGAGACTCGGAGACAGAAACAAGCAGCTGAAGTTCAGCAGGATGTCGATTAGGATCAGTCCGGGTTGTTATCGCCCGCCACCAAAGGGCGTGTGCGTCTGTTGTGTTAGCAAAATATCATAGGAGCCACTGAAAGATTGAAACTCTACAGGGTGATTTGATAAAACTTCCTGGCAGTGAAGTGAAACGTCAGAACACGTCCAGTTATTTTGTTTTAATCTTCTGAATTTTCCTTGTTTTACAAATAAATAGATGCCTCTCATGTGGGACGCACCGATAACTTGTTTTATGAGCGAACTCAAGGATATATTTTGATAAAATAGCTCAAAAGGTCATGGCTCTGAGCAACAGAATTTATAAAGTGAAACGGGCCCAAACACGGAGCCCTGTGGTTCCTCCAATCAGAAGTTTATTACAGATGTTTGAGAGGAAGTTAAAACTTCTTAAAGCACAAAAGGTCTTCAGCATAATTAACAAGATGCAGACCCTGAACGCGTCTAAATTTATTTTTGAACATTTCCAGCTCATTTTAACCAGTTGAGATTTTGTTTGTCCCAAACCAGACACCGTCCCCTTCTCCACCACCAAGGTGTCCATCTCCTGCCTGCTGTGAGGAAGAGGATGAAGGTCTGACATGGTCGCTCAGTGATGATGGCACAGAGCACGTTGAGAACAAAGCAGCGGCTTGTTCGTAAGTGCTAACATGCTAACAGATGCTAAGTGCATGAAGTCGCCCAGAAGGTTCCTTCAATGTTTGTTTTAAAAATAATAATAATAATAATAAAAAAAGTTTTTCTTGGAGATGAAGAGTCATAAAAACCGTATAAATCAAATTTCAAATCCAGTTTGTCATCATCAGAACTGAAATGTACCGGTTAAAAAAAATAAAGGTTTGATTAAAGCTAAAATTAAGTTTACGACATAAATGTTAATATACCTGGATTATTGCGCATGGACTGTGTTGTATAACTGTTAATAGTTGGAATCTTTGAATTTAAGCTACAATTAGAAGATAAAACGTTGCACGTTTAATAAAACATCTGCAGTAATTTACAACGATCTAAACAGATGTGAGGAAAGAAGTTAATTAAAAATAAGCACCTGAAAATGAAATGGAGTAAAAAAAAAAAAACCCAGAGGTTTAAATTTCAGAAACTCCAGAGATAATTTTTTTAACGTCTTTATTTTTACGTTTATCATTTAATATCATGTCTGGTAATTTTCTGCAAACGTTTCCTTTGAAGACATTTTAAGATGAACTGGAGGTTCCTGCACTTTTGTGACCAAATAAATGAAAAATCATGGATTTGTTTTTAGCAACATTTACTGATTGATGTGTAAATAAATAGTTTGTTTTTTTATTATTTGTGCTGAAGGTTTGACTGAGGTTTAAAAAAATGTTATTTCTATAATAAAATGTGTAAAGTTTGTCATTTTTAGTGGAGTTTGTTCAAAAACTGGAAATAAAAAATACATTTTTACTGAAAAAGTTCAGAGTTTCTTTACTTTTTTCATCTTTTTTTAACTAAAGTTGTTTTTAAGACTTGGAGGTAAAACAATCTTCAGATGATTCATCAAAGTTTTTATTTTATTTTTGGAGGATGAAACTTGAGCTGCAACACAACGAAGAACGAGATTTTAAGATTCATTTGGTTAAAAACTATTTATGCACTAAAACATCTTGAGCACAAATATTTGGTCAAATTTAAGATAATTTGCAGTTTTGAGTCTGTCAAACTAAAATACTGAGACAAAAAGCACGGTGGTGGCAGCATCATGGTGAAGTGGACAGAAAGACTGCTCAAAGAATCCAGATGAATTATTATTAATTATTTTCTTTAAAGTCTAATTTTCAGGCTTGGTTTCCAGTGAATCAGAGAAAACCTGAAAACAAAGGAGCCACATCTGGTCTGCAGGACCTGCAGGACCTGGAAGAGCTTCCAGAAAACTGCAGGGTCTGCAAAGAGTAAAACGCATCGAAAACAAAACAGAAGAATGAGTTTCAGACAAACACGTTTTACTTGTTTCCAGAGTTCAGAGAAATCCTGAAGCCAACAACAACACTTGAAACAAACCAGAAGGTCTTTAAAACGCAGACGTTTATTGTTTTTAGACATTATTCCAAACGGTTGTTCAGAAAACGTGAACAGACGGTGGAGACGCCACTCAGCGTCTCGTCTATAAAAACAGACGGTGAGGCGTGGAGGCACGTTCAGAGAAATAAAGTGCAGCGCTCGGTGGATGTTCTGCACCACCGACACCGGAGGAGGACCGTTCGCTCCTCATGTCGTCATGGAAACCAGCAGCTAACCTGAAGCTGCTCTCACCTGCTCAGTAACAACTTCAGCAGCTCGTTCAGTCCAACCTGCTGCTGCTGCTGCTTAAACTTTATTTAAAGCTAAAATAATGAAACAAAGTCTGGATATTTTCTGATTTAAGTCTCTAAAAAGAGACAATTTGCAGCTTTTCAAACCGAACAGATGTTAAAACGTCCTTCTGACGGTTTAAAGTATAAAATTAAAACTATTTTACTAATGATGAAGCAGATTTATCTGCATTAAACTTATAAACACACTAATTATTTAATTATCTGTCAGATGTGATGAAAAAAGCTGCAAACGGTCCGATCTGAAAAACTGAATATCAGTAAATAAAAATCCTGATCAGGAAATAAAAAGGAAACCGATCAGGAGACGAACGTGATGAAACGATCAGTAACGACTTTAAATGAAATGGACTCTTTCTGGGGCGTTTAAACAGAACCGTCGGGGCAGGTCCATGTGACGGTGCTGGATAAAGCGGCATTGTCATCCTCCTCGGTAGCGAGGTGCTGCGGTCGTGTCGGAGAAACTCAAAATATAAGAAAAAAAAACGTCTGACATCGTTGATGAAAGGTTTGGTTCTGTTCAACGTCCAGGAACAAGTCTTGAAACGATCAGTCCATCTTTAACAGAACCGTTCATCTTTAATCTGCAGAACATCAGAAGGTTGTTACCATGGCAACAGCATCCTCCAGCTGTAACCACGGCGACAGGATTGTCTCTGAAGTTTCTACAAGAACGATTTGGTCTGATGCAGTAAACAGAAGTGGACAACAGTCGCACGAAAATAAAAACTAAATGGCACCGACATGAAGACGACCTGGTGGTTAAAACAAACGCACCCCGGCTGAGACGCTTTGGAACGTTAAACAAATAAAATAAAATGTGACCTTTAGGAGGAAGTTTCTAACACAGAGGAATGTTGGAGTCTCAACAAACAAAAATAAAAACCTCAAACTTTCTCTTCAGTAAATCCAAATAAAAAGCACCAAAATCTGTTTGAATAACATCTGAAAATACATTCTGTTGTCATGGTAACAAGGACGAAGCCCAGGACGTGACAATCCACAGAAAACAAACTCCTGGATCTGAAACATCCCACAGTTCCGAGCAGTTTGGTTCCTCCCTCGCGCCAACGATGGGTTGGAACAACCGAGCAAAGATTTGTGGTTCTGCAGGAGCCCGGCTCGGTCCGGGTTCTGTTACAGAGGCAGAGGGGGAGCGTTGGACCCACTGAACAACAGAAACTCTGGATCGGACAGTCCGAGTGTGATCGACGCTAACGAGACAAGAATGAGTGCTGCCATTTTGTAAGGAGCTCCGTGAAGCGTCGTCAGTTTTCTGCTGGGCAGATCAGAAACATCAGCTTAAAAAATCTGTGAAATAATTCAACGTTTGTCATTAACCGTTTAATTACTGAGGCCAAAACTTCAACGAGCGTGATGCTACTGGTGAGTTTTAAATCGCATTAGTTCATAAACGAAACATGACCGTTTCAGTTGTCGTCTCGTCCGTGGTGCTGGCCATCACAAAATATTAATGAAATTATGTTTGTGCTAAAGTACGAATGAAACCATGTTTTGATGCTCAGATGAATGTTTACCTTCCAGAAACACGAGGAACGATGTTCACGGTTTCAGTTCAGAATCAAGAGGGAACATTTATAAACTTTATGACGCTCAGCTGTTAAAGTGACTGTAGAATAATACAACCATACTTTGTACGGTGTCATTAACCGGATTCACAACACTGACATCTTAATTTGACCCAGAGTAAAAAGTCTGTTTAAATGAAGCTCCTTTTGTCGCCTCCTTTAAGTAAAATCATTTGTTTCCATAAAGTGATGACTCAGCAGCTCCTTAATGTGTGGCTTCCACATGTAAACACTACAGAGTGACGCAAGCAGCACCTAGCAAGATGGCGGCCATAAACCTCACCGAGCACAGTCGGTGGCTGATCCAGTGTTTCTCTAGTTCAGTGGTTTGACCTCCTGAGACCCAAAATACGAAGGTTCTGTGGGATTCTGGTGGGACCGGACCTGTGGCTGTGCTGGGGGCGGGGCGTAAACGTTCTCCAGTAAAACGCTCTGAATGAGTAAAAACAGGCAGCGGCGAAACGTTCCGTTGAATAAATAATCCTCCTTCAGTCGCGGCTCAGCTGTTGGGCTCTGACCCGTCGAAGCCCTTTGGTTCTACCTGCTCACCTGAGGAACGTGCTGCGAAGGACCAGGAAGTTCCTCCCACACCAACAAACGGCGCTCGGTCACATGCTCGTGTCCTGCAGGAGCGGCTCGATGTCCTCCGGGTCGCTGGTGGGCGTGGTCAGAGAGCTGCCGTTCTGAGCGTGTGCGGCGGCGACGCTGCTGCCGGTGGCGGAGCAGCTTTTGCTGTCGGTCGATCGACGGTGCTCGGGGATGAAGATGGCGACGAAGACGGCGATGAGGACGGCGCACGCTCCGAACAGGAAGGGAGGACCCGGAATGACGGACTTCTGCCGACAGAACCCAAAAAACAAATCTGAGAACAAAAACTGACATTTATGAACTCCTCGTACTTTCCCTGGAATTTATTTGTAAATGATCACCAACCGCTTGTGTTCGCCTGTTAGCAAAATATCTCATGAACCACTGGACAGATTTCAGTGGAACGTCAAGATGGCCGCCGCTGCCAACTCCCCCCATGAAGCACTAAAATACCAACAAGTGAGTCCGATTTACAGACATGGAGCTGGAGTTGGGGCTGGTAGTAGCTGAGAGTCATCACCAGATCAATAACGTTCCGTCTTATCTTAACACATCAAACATTAAAACTGAGACTTTATTAAAACTCTTTTCAACACATCTTAACTTAAAACTGAAAGGTGGCGGGAGACAACAACCACACCTTTAAGTTGTTAAAAGCATCCGTTCAAAAGAAAAGTTTTAGGCGTTTAAAATCTTAAATTAAGTTTTGAGAACCTGATTTAAGATTTTGAGCGTTCTGAGCCACCGTACATGATTTCTTATGAAAATCAATCAATAAATCTGTCTCCCAGAATAAAACGCATCGATGTGAACGAAGCGCAGACCGTCCGTCTGGTTCAGTGACTTAAATAAAAACTCGTGGACCGCGCCGGCACGTTTGATATTTAGAAGCTCCAAACTTTTCTAAAAACTCCTGAAAAGTTCCTGGAACTGGTCCAGAGTCTGATCCCAGTTTCACCAGTTGCACGTTCATGAATGAGATCAACAGTTGGAGGTTTCCCTCAGTTATAAAATGTTTTTTATTTTACTTTAATGAATCCTGGGTGGAGAAACGAGTACTGAAGGAAGTTAGTGCTGACGGTTCACGTGTCAAAATGACTGCAGGAACAGAGTAAACACAAACAACACAAACACAAACAACACAAACACAAACAACACAAACACAAACAACACAAACACAAACACAAACAACTTCTTGTTGAGACGAGACGCCGTCTGAGTTTCAGCCTCTTTAAAACGATTCTGGTGAATAAACTAGAACAAATAAAGATTTCAGCTGAAGGTCACTGACCTGTAAACAAACAGGTGCTGTGTGTTCACCTGGAGGTGTGTGTGTGTGTGTGTGTGTGTACCTCTGTGTCTTGTGTCTGAGCCACTGGCGGTGTGTCGTTCAGCTCCACGTTGAACAGGAAGAAGATGAAGCCGTACAGAGCCGGACCCAAACCGTTACAGAGACCTCTGATACCTGTGATCATCCCCTGGACCACACCTGAACACACAAAATCAATACCTGATCAGCTGATTGATGCGAGGTGACCCTGGTTCTGAGGCAGGAGAACCAAGCGAATACCGAGCTCACATCCAGTCCATGTGGTTTCCATGACAACTTTAAAAACTAATCGTGGAGACAAATCCAGTTTTTGTCTCCCCGACTGGACGGAGACAAAGTGCAGCTCTGACGCTGCAGGAGGCCAAACTACGAAGTGCAGCTCTGACGCTGCAGGAGGTCAAACTACGAAGTGCAGCTCTGACGCTGCAGGAGGTCAAACTACGAAGTGCAGCTCTGATGCCGCAGGAGGTCAAACTACGAAGTGCAGCTCTGACGCTGCAGGAAGTCAAACTACGAAGTGCAGCTCTGATGCTGCAGGAAATCAAACTACGAAGTGCAGCTCTGACGCTGCAGGAGGTCAAACTGATTGAAAATTGATCTCAAATTTACAAAGTAAATAAAACCTGCCCACATGTGCAGCGTACAAACCAGGCTGAGCTCACCTTGCTCGTCAGCCGCGGCGTTGTGAGACACCAGAGCTGAGACTGCTGGGAAGGTGATGGAGGACATGGCTGCAAGTGTCCCTGCGGCCCACATCATCCTGAGAGGAGAACAGAACCGACAGTCAGGAAAACGACTGACGGCTCTCAGAACTGACCCGGAGGGTGGACTCACCAGGGCTCCGAGCCGAAGGCGTACCACAGCAGCTGGAGGATCTGGAAACCCAGTCCGAGCAGAACCGTGTTCTTCTTACCGATGGTCCTCATTAACACGCTGAGGAGGAGCGTCTGACGGAGACACAAACACAGCTTCATCCTTCCTGAAACCTCCTCTTCCTCACCTGAGTCACAGAATCTTCAACGTTCCAACATTAAACCTCTCAAACATCTGAACACGTCTCACCTGCAAACACTCAACACGTCACAACCTGTGTGTGCGTGTGCATGTGTGTGTGTGTACCTGGGCGATGATGGAGAGGATTCCCACCATGGCGATGAAGCCGGCGATGGCTTCAGATGAAAACTGGATGACCTGAAACAGAAAAACAAAGACCTGCTGATGGTGGAAACAAACGCCTGCATGTCATTCACATGTCGTTCACATGTCTGAGCTGTGAACACGCTGCTGAAGAAGAGGCTGCTCGTGTTCGGTAAACGATGATTCATCACATCTTTGTCTTTATTGTGTTCGTAAGTAATGAAAACGATGGTAAAGAATAAAGACTGTTCAAATGTAGACTGACATTAAATGAGCAGTTCAAATTAAACTTTATTATTTTATTCATGAGGTTCATGTTTCATGACGTAACATTTGTCACCTGAAGAACGTTGAATTCATTGGTGGACCAACATTTTCATAAATAAATGAAAAACATTGTAAACGTCACAAAAATTGACAAATTTCAGCAAAGTTACAGAAAAAACCTCTTTCAGGACAGTTTTGTTTTAAAAGATGTTCAGCAGCTCAACGTGCATGTGTGTGAGTGAGTGAGTAAGTGTGTTACCTGCTTCAGGTAGAGGAAGAAGCTGGAGTACTGTCCGGCTTCAGGCAGGTAGGACAGGAACACGGTGACACAGATCAGCAGCACCGTGGAGTCTTTACCTACTCGACGCAGCGACTGAACACAAAATCATCCAAATCAATCTGTCAATCGAGGAGCTGCTCCCTCGGAGTGGGCGGTTCGATCGGTTTTCAAGTTTCTGTTGGACGAAAACGGGCCAAAGCCTCGTTAAACTCACGGAGAAGGGGTCGGCCTGCTCCCAGGAGATGGGGAACCCCCAGGACGACAGTCTCATCTTGTCCGGCAGAGACTCGGGGACCAGGAAGAACACGAAGGCGATGTCGGCCACAGCGATCACCGTGGCAACCAGGACCACCACGCTGTCTCCGTAATGAGCGGACAGGTAGGCCCCGATGGCCGGGCTCGTCACCAGACTGGCAGCGAAGGTCGCCGACACCTGAACAGAATTTAATTCAACGAAAAATGTTAAATCCCGTCATCTGGACCAGTTTCTTTAAGTGAGACACGTTTCGTCCCCATCCAGAGGACTTCCTCAGTCTACGACCTGCCAACCACATCTGTCCCACAGTTAGCCTTCACTGCTGTGTTTCAACACGACCTCCTCTTGGAATCTCAGAAGGAGACGTTTAATGTGCAAACACACCCATCCAAAACAATCCATCATGTGCAAGGGACGTTATTACGTATTAATAATTTAATTCAGTTTATTTCTGTAAATTCAAAAAGGTTCAACAGAAGTCGTCTCAGGGCACTGAACAGAATCATTCACACTTTATTAAAAACAATTAATAAAAGTTCTCTATCTCAGGAAGCAGCAGATTGTGTTGAATCTTCACTTCGTCACAGTCTGATCCTGAGCGAGCACAAAGGAGACAGTGGAAAGGAAAAACTCCCTTTAACAGGAAGAAACCTCCAGAAGAAGCAGCTCAGGACGAGCGGACATCTGCTTCAACCAGCTGGTTTGAGAGGACAGGAAGGACAAACAAACAGAATTAAACTAACATAAAAATATTAAAAAATAAACAATTGGTTTCAGCAGCAGAGACTTCTGACGGTAACTGCTCTCTATATTTATTTTAATACAAAATATAAATACATGTTTTTATTTCAACTGGGGTTTTATATCATGAAAAGAGAAAAATAATCCTGAGGGTTTCAGACCCGCCTAAAGTCCTTGAAAGGAACGACGCAGGAACAGATTCACGCCAGCAGGGGGCGGTGCTGTTTCATTCATCAGTTACTTGTACAGGACTCAAACTGCACGTGTTCATTTATCTTAACCAGCTTTATATCATAAAGAGCCTGAACATCTAAACATGGAGCAGGTCAGGAGAAAAACCTGAATGTGGGATCACACCAGGTCCAGGACCACGTCTGCTCCTGTTTGTGTCGTTACACTGACCACTCTGCTGTGAGGTGTGTGTGTGTGTGTGCGCGTGTGTGTGTGTGTGTGTGTGTGTGTGTGGTTACAGTTACCAGTCCATATGCCGTGCTTCTCTCATGCTCCTCTGTGATGTCAGCGACGTAGGCGAAAATCACCGAAAAGGTTACGGAGAAAATCCCTGAGACTGAGATCAGAGCGAAGTACCACCTGAAGACACACACACCTTTAAATTAGACCTTCACTTCACCACTTGCTCTCGATGAGATCGGATGCTTCCCTCCCTCCCTCTCTGCTTTGCTGCTGTCTGTCTGTGAAACTGCTTCTGAGCCTCTCTTGTATCTTCTGAAACATAATTATAGACTTGTTCTGACCAGTTGGTCCCTCAACTCAATTTACAACATTTCTTCTAGAGAAGACAGACTTTAGGAGAGCCGATTTGCCCTGTTGGCACGCACACAGCTGGATATCTCATCGACTGGAAGACTTGATGTGTCTATCTCTGCTGCCATCTGTGGATTTTAAGGACGCATATTTAATTGGACTTTCGATAACTGGTTCCTGCTTTTTTTGGATTCAGCTGGTGCTGGTTTTATCTACAATCAAGGAAGTCATCAGAAGCAAATTTGGACCCGATCACGCTGCTTGTCTTTATGATGGCTTGGTTCGTGCCTCGAGTACCCAGACTCAAATGCTTTGGGCTGAATGGATCAGATCTTGGGGATTTTACTCAGTCACGTTCCATCGGTGTGGCCATGTATTTTGGACATTTCGAAACCGAGTGGACCAACACAGACTCAAGGTTGATGTCATTAAGTTCTGCCTGTCCCCAAAACAACTGTGTGTTTATCTAAGTTTTGGTCGCCTTGGTGTCCTTGAAGGCCATCTTATCTGAATTCACCTGGAGAACATGTGATCTGATGCTCACCACCCCCTCCCTGAGGAATTTCCAACTGATAACCAGATGAAACCAGCTGAATAAACTTTGTGTCATCATTTCAGGACTCTGGATTGTCAGGGGTTATTCTCGGCCATTCCTCGACATCCCTGGAGAATGTTTATGGATCTCACCGGAGAACATTGGCTGATTATTACATATTTATCAGAACTCTTACAGTGACCTTGAGAGCATCTATGAACATTGATGACTGCTCTCATCTCCCCCCTCTGCAGATTGTCTATGTAAATATGTGCTTGTTTGTGCAAGATGTTTTTTTAATTTGAAATCAGGTCTCTCTTGTAAATGAGTCCTCGAGGCTCAATGGGATTTACCTGTATAAATAAAGGTTGATTGATTAATATTAGGTGTTTTTTCTCAGGCAGGAAAAAAAAAGTCTGATAGGAATTGTTTTTGCCTCCAACTCCTCCATGTGTCCAGTTAACCACTTTTTATTGTTTGTCCAATCAGGTCTCACTTGTAAATGAGTCTTCGAGGCTCAATGTGATTTATCTGTTTAAATAAAGGTTGAATGGAAAAAAGACTGCAGCTGATTCTTATCGGTTTCATTTGATCAATTATTTATTTAATTATCTTAACCTGCACGTCTTCCTCACACCGAGTCATTTATTTCAGGTGGTTCAGCTTCTACAGACGTTACGGTAGCCTAACGACCCGCGGGTCGAGGCTGAAACACCAGAACATCACCAACAGCTGAGAAGAAGCGTCTCCACCTGCTCAGACTCATTCAAACGTTTGCTTCACGTGTTCACAGTCAAAATAAAGCCCGAGCACAAAACTCATTCCAGTTAAAATCTGACCTGGGAGCAGCTGAGCCCAGTCCGACAGAACCTCTGGAGTCCTGCTGGTCCGTCCACCACGGCACTCTGACAACTCGCTGACTTTATCGTTTATCTCATCAAATTAAATCTTTTTACTCTGCGTCATAAAAAGTGAATGATGTGAATTAAACTCAGTTTTATGAGTAACAGAAAATCAGCATTTAAAAGTAAAATAAAGACTTTTTAAAATATTAAAAACGGTGTTTCCTTTTCTTTCCATTCCACCTGGAAATAAACGCAGAACCTCTTCAGGTCTGAGTCCAACGCCATGAAGAAGATTTCCTTTAAAGACAAACGTTGGTTTCAGTGGAGATGTTGAGACTTCTGATGACTTCTTTACGTTTTAAATTCAAACAACAACAACAACAACACCCTCCGCCTCTCTCCGGTGGTTTGACAGGCACGTCCCTCAGGGAGGAGACCCTGGATCAGACCCATGTGGTCTGGGAACACCTCAGGGTCCCTGAGAGGAGCTGGAGGTCTGTGACCCGACCACAGGGAAGGAGAAGATGACCCCCCCTGTTGAAGACTCAACATCTGTGTGACGTCGCCTGAAGGCAACACTTTCACCTCCATGATTCATCGGACCTCACGTCTGTCAGAACCGACTGACCCAGAACATTTATTAACCTCAGTCTAAAATCTGTCAGAAGACAAAACAACACGTGAAAATATTAAAGTCCAAGCCCGACTGGTTGAGGTTCTGCAGCCTGAAGCAACGAGCTTCAGACAGGTCCAGACTACGGACAGAACCGTCAGACGGGTCTGTTCTCAGACCGTCTGCCGCTCTGGTGTCTGAGAAAACCATGAAGATCTGCAGACAGGAGGAGGACCCCTGGGAGCAGCAGGAGCAGCTCACATGAGGAGCATGTGACGCTTCAAAGTGCAGCAGCCGAGCTCTGGATCAGAACCGCAGCTGCAGACAGAACTAAACAAATACAGTTTGAACTCGTTAAATTAACGTTCTGTCTTTAAGATGGTGGAAAAGACGCAGCTCATTAAACCTCCAGGAGCAGAACTTCAGATGATCTCTGATGAAACGTTCCATGTTTTTCACTCGGAGTCCTTCAGAAACATGAATAAATAAACCTGAAGGTCACGTCTGCGTAGAAACACAAGAAGCTGCTCGTAAAGTAACTGGATCTGACCTGGTGCCAGCCGTTTAACCAGAATCACTTCTAGGAACGGTCCAGCAGAACCACCAGGTAACAGACAACAACCGTACGGTAATTAAGCTTCAGCCTCCGACACCAGCCTGGACTGGGAGTTTACAACACAAACAGAATATTTGAGTAAAAACACGTTCGATTAAAATGCACTGACGATAAAACTTTACAGAAAAAAAGACCAAGTTTGGATTTTGGTTCTACTTTTAATCTCAAAATAACTTTCGGACATTTTGACTTTAATCTTGGATTATTCTTTAAACTTTTATATCTAGAAACAAAAACATCTTATTTTTCCCTCTTCAGATGTCCTCCAAGAGAGTCCTCCTCCAAGTGTGTCCTCTGTCCTCACTCTTGTCCTGTCCTCACTCTGTCCTCTGCATCCTGCCCTTTGTCCTCACTCTTGTCCTGTCTTCACTGTCCTCTGCATCCTCTGTCCTCACTCTGTCCTCTGTTCTCACTCTGTCCTCTGCATAGTCTGTCCTCACTGTCCTCTGCATCCTCTGTCCTCACTGTCCTCTGCATCCTCTGTCCCCACTCTGTCCTCTGTATCCTCCGTCCTCACTCCAACTACCTCCATGTCCTCTCTACCTGCATCCATGTATCTCCTCTTTGTCTTTTTCCTGCAGCTGCATTTCTAACATCCTTCTACCAATATACCCACTGCCCCTCCTCTGGACATGTCCAAACCACTGCCCCTCCTCTGGACAGGTCCAAACCACTGTCCCTCCTCTGGACATGTCCAAACCACTGTCCCTCCTCTGGACATGTCCAAACCATCTCAGTGTGTCCTCTCTAACTTTATCTCCCAGTTGTTCAACCTGTGCTGCACCTCTGATGATCTTCTCCATCCTTGTCTCTCCTAAGAAGAACCTCAACATCTTCATTTCTGACACTTCCAGTTGTCTCCTGTCTTTTTGTCCATGTCTCTGTCTCCAGACCAGAAAACATTGCTGGTCTTGTAAACCTTTCCTTAGACATTGAAACTGTTCTGCAGAACCAACTACAAGAATATCTCCAGAATCAAAACTTTGGGATGTGGACTCACCAGGGGCTGATCCTCATGAAGGGGATGGGGGCGCAGGTGAAGAAGACCGTGACGAGGAGGAAGGACTTCCTGCCCCAGGTGTCTGACAGCGCACCAATCAGAGGAGCCGACAAAAATGACAGGAAGCCCTGCGCCGCCGTGGCGAGAGAGGAAGGTTAGAAACAACATTTGAATCATCTGCTGGTTAGATGTTCAACTGTAAAGAGCTCGTTCTTCCAGATTAAAGCAGCTTTGACACACATGAGGGGGGCGTCACCAGGGACTGGACTTTATGAGATTAGATTTATAATCTGTCAGGAAATAAAACCAGCAGCAGTTTGACTCTGATAAGCAGCTGGTTCTGGGTCCAAACTGATGAAAGGTGCAACAAACTGAATCCGACCCGACGGGTCCATAAAACCAGAAACAGAAGAACAAAGTTCACGTTTCATTAGTTGTTCAAACAGAAACAGTGACGTCCATCCCCTGCTGGTAAATGTGGTTTTTAATCCCACTTAGTGTTTACGGACGTTTTCAGAACGTTATCGGTCATCAGGACGCGTCTGTCTGCCCAAACGGACCGACAGAACCCAGATCAGCGGTCAGACCGTCTCAGAGTGCAGATCCAACTGGTGCTACACCTTCAGCTCATCTGAGTTTACTTTAGCTGCTCTTAAAGCTGAACATGCTGCTGTCGAGATGAATAATCGTTTATCAGAAGCAAAAATAAAAACTGTTAAACAGAAAGAAAATGATCTGAGTGTCAAAGTTCATGCTCAATCATCCAGGTACAAAATCCAATAATGGTCAGTCAGGTCGTCTGGACGGTTTCTTTTTTTTTATTATTTTTATTTTGTGCCGAGACGTTTCACCCTCCATCTGGAAGGCTTCATCAGTCTGAGGAAACACCAAACAAAACTGACACCCCCTCATTACTCCAAAGTGGAAAAAACAGTTATGCTGCTGCTAAAATGGCCTCAGGTGCCCGCCCTCTTCCTCGACAACAGTATAAAATCCATTTTATACATGGATTATTACATGATGGATGGATGGGGCTGGACTGGGCTGGACTGGGCTGACGGACGAACGGACGGACGGATGGATGGATGGATGGATGGGGCTGGACTGGGCTGACGGACGGAC